ATAGAGTACATGGCATGATGTTTCCCCTAATTTTTAAATTTAACAAAAAATAATATCATCATAAATGCTATAATAATATTTAAATTACAATATTGTACATGAATAATAATATGTAGGTGTAAGTTAAAATATTACTCAGGATCCATTAGTGAGAATGCTATCATGCGAGTTTGTACTCCTTTCACGTTCTTCAGTTGGACGGGATTTATCTCAACCACCATTCCAATGACATTTAAATATATGTTAAATTAGAACTAAATTATTATATATTGTAAAAATTGTAAGAAATAAAATAAGAACAATTGAAAATACGATTACCAAATAAGATTGATTCGTCGATCTTCTCGACATCGCGATCAATGTGATGAACCTTCGAAAGTCGAAACGGTAAATTGGAAAGTCACCCTTGTAGCTTATGTGTTCAGTTCTACCATGTAAGATAAGCCTGTATTTGGCAATGGTGGATCGGTACATTTCAATGTTACTCTCGACTTGATAGTTTCGAAGTGCATAGACAACTCTTTCTTCAAATGTGTTGATGAAGGTAGGGATGTTTATAGCTCTTATTATTGCAGTAATTCGACCCCCCTTAAAAAAAATCATAATATTGTAAATTATAGAGTAAATGATAAGAAATGTTTAATCATTAACTTTTATAGTAAAATATACCTCATTGTCATGAAAGACAATCTCAAGGATGTTCTTGTAGGATGAGTATTCATTAGTTCTTTGAAAGACTCGAACAACTCATAGCTTGATCATTGGCCTGTTAGTTCTTGTGACTTGCTTGATGTTTCCCCATGCTTTTGCCATTGTTTTGCTCAATGCTTTACGTCAAAAGTTGAGTGTGATATTTTAGCGATACGTTATGCACTATCAATCTGTAATTTTATAGGCATGGGTAATAGATGATAAATATCATATTATATTAATTTAAAATAAGAGTTAATAAATTGGAACTCTAAAACATTAATAATTATCTATAACTCTGAAATCAGTGTTTTGTGACCCGGACCGACCCGGAGTCGGAACCGGTCCGAGTGGGTTAATTGGACCGGGCAACAACGAACCTGGTCAAACCCGGTCAAAACCCGGTCGACCCGGCCTTGACTCGGTCGACCCGGGGCAT